GGGGGGGGGAAGGTCATGCAAACGGAAGTGGCATGAATAAAGTGCCATTGAATATCCGCCATCAACCGCATATGAGAACACCGAGAAGAAATCCTACTCCAAGTGCAACTAGGGAGGTGATGTACCAATGTTGAGCTCTGTTAACAATAATGAGGCTTTTCTCTTACCAAATGAAGACTGTTTTCAGCAACAAAGATAATTCCCTTGGGACATTCAGGTGAGCAGACTGGAGTAACATGTGTGGAAGGTGGAAAAGAGATTGAAGTATACGAGAGGCTATGCCTTGCAGTTTGCAATAACCAGGGCCTATCGCTTAGAGCGATCACATCAGCATCAAGAGAGTCATTCAATGGAACGAGAAAAACAGGAGTGATGCCAATCCGACGAACTGCAACTAATTGCAGATAAACAGGAGAATCCTTCGTCTTAGCCAATAAACTGGACACTTGCATAGGTTGAGTTCTAAAATTCTGAGATGCAAAAATTGAGGAACCACTGGAATTAGCCATACAAGAATTGTCAAAAGTTTGAAGGCCAGGCGACTCAAGTGAGGCAACTATCGAGGTGGAGGGCCACTCAAATCTGAGTAGCATACCGTTCCTTAATCCTGAAAGAACATAAAGCCGATCAACGAGTACAAGTCTTACATCTTGAGGAATGCAGCCACTTATGGTTGTTCCAAGAGTGTTTGTTAAGGTTATAGATCCAATGGCAAGAACATTCACGCCTTTATCAGAAGTAAATGATAGAACTTCCACAGAAGGCTTATGTGTACCAATAATGAAGGTGTTACTAATGTCCAATCCGGATGGAAGAGAATCCAAAGGAACTCCATTTGTATGACTAGTTTTAGATATAAAAGGTTTTTGCTCAAGCCGGGGGATTGAAATGCAGGATAGTTCATCTTGCAATCTCACATGTTTCATCTGGTATATTTCTTTATGATGGGCTGATAAGGTCCTGATGCCAAGAATAAATAAGAAGCATGGACTGGAAGTTGCAACAACTATCAAATTAGGCCCAACAGCTCCGAGGCTTATTGTCATATTATCAGGGGACCATGAGGTGAAAGTTGGTGATGACGAATCAATACCATCTGGATGTGCCGCAATAGTAGGTACACACAGTCTCACAGCAGTCTGGTGGATTTGCACCAGTAAACCATCGCCCACAAGACCACAAGCCAAC